CCGCGACGTGCCGGGAATACCGCGCCCACCATTCGATTATCCTATCGTATCCGAGTGTCGGGTACCGTTCGAATTTCCAGTCGAAATTTTTTTCCCTTCTCCCTCTCTCTTTATCCATTTTCCCCCCTCCGTATCGTTTGAACCTTCTTCTTCTTCCTTTTTTTTTTTTTTTTTGTTTCAACAGCGAAATTTGTTTAATTGCAACAAAGGGTAACAAGCTTTCATTTCACACGTTTTGGTTGTGGCAAAAGTTTTTTCAATTTAATTAACGAATATTTCATCTTATGCTTTACATTGTACATTTTCATGTACATGATCCACTCTGATTTATTGGCCTGCTTCGTTTCTCGCGAATGCCATCTTTCCAAAACTTCTGGGCTTAACGAAATATTGTTCGCGGTGCACTCTTATCTCATTTATCTGAGCGAGTAAAATCTTCCAGCGTAGCAGCTGGATGAGAAAAGAACATCACCGTCTGATTAACATCTGTTCCTTTCGTTTGACAAACATTTTCTCCGCCGCGTGAAACGTGCAAATGCACCTCGTACGATATTTCGCCAGCGAATTCCAAGAAATTCTGGAAAGACTGCATTACGAATGGCAATGACGACAGGTCAGAATGGATCATAATTCAATGATACGACGTAAAGCATAAAAATATTGTGCATTAACAAAACGGAAGAAACTGTCTTGCAACGATTCAGATATTTAATTTCACTAAAAATCATTCGAGTTTCTGAAGATACGCTGCTGTAAATATAACTATAATAAAAATTATAAATTGGTCATTTCGACGATAGAAATTTAGTATATACCATCTATTTTCTATCATCCATTTTATATATTTTTGCTTTGAAGTTCTTACATTTTGCAGAAATGTTCAACGATTGTATGAATAACGATAAGGGTTCAATCTTCTGGTTATTTTACTTTAATATTCCTTTATTACGTGCAATTAACGAAGAAGGATGTAATTGAAGGATTCGTTAGAAGATATCGGATGGTAGTTAGATAATGATGAGGGTGCAGAGGGTTGAAATGAGGTTGAAGTTCCTTCTTATTAGTTATAATGTTGTGTCTGAAATTTCTTCATTTTTAAACCATCACTTCTGCAACGAAATACTTTGTTTTTTAAAAATATAGTCATATCGAAATATGTTTGAAAATATATTGATATACTTTAGTATTTCGACACTTTCAATAGATTGAAATAATTCATTACCTCGTTGTTCAACTAACAGAAAATCGTTCATTGAACAAACGAAGTTATATTCAAACATGTAATACATAATACACATATATCGAAACACAATTTTACAACGTAATGTATATATATATATATATATATATATATATATATATATATATATATAT